TGTCGATATGGGTTTTTCACCCGGCCCACGAGGGCGCGGTTTTCCTGTATAGTAAGTTGTTGAAGGTCCGGCACGCCCTAGGGCACAGCGGTGTAGGAATAATAATATATACGGGAACTCAAAAAGATTGTTCAAGATGAGACTGCCATGGGCTTTCAGCATGCCTGTAGCAAAAAGGCGACGGCAGACGAGATACAAGCCAACATGATTCTGCAGCGAATCAAGGAGCTAGGCTTGGCCGTCTACCACAAAAAAATACGCCGGCACACGGCACGATTCCCTGGGCCAGGAGCACGACTACTTCTACGGCGACCACTTTCTCTCGAATGTCGGGCTTATCGAAAAGACGTGCCTCTTCAAGCTCTGCCAGGCGATGCCCAAGGGCGCTCATCTCCACATCCACTTCAACGCCAATCTTGCGCCAAACTTCCTGCTCGACATCGCGAAGGAGATGCCTAACATGTACATCTGGAGTAGCGAGGCGCTGACCGACAAGGCTGCGTTCGCCAAGTGCCGGATTAAGTTCAGCATCCTGGGCCCAAATGAATTCAAGGCAAAGAACCCCGCTGGTGCTGCAAGATTGTTCCACAGTCAATACAAAGCATACCCGCAACAGGACAAAGGCTGCGGGTGGATGCTGTTTCTGGACTTCATGGCACAGTTCCCCGACTTCGCTAAACAGTTGAAAAATGTGGACTTGAATGTCAATCGCTGGCTGCAGAACAAACTCGTGTTCCATGAGGAGGAGACCCACAACTCGCTCCAGACCTCGGATGGGTGAATGCGGAGCTCAAGGCTGATGTTCCTCGCTGACATTGTGTTACAGTGCATGGAAGAAGTTCAATGCGCGAACACAGATGATAAAGGAGCTGTTCAACTACAAGAAGGCCTACGTACGCTACACGCAAGCGTGTCTTGAGGAATTCGCCAGAGACAACATCCAGTATGCCGAGATCCGGCCAAACTTTATGTTCACGAACCAAGTGTGGGAGGATGATGGCTCCGCCCGGCTCGACAATGAGGCCATTGTGAAGCTCATCATCTCCGAGTACGAAGCCTTCCAGAAGAAACACGGCGAGAAGGTCTTCAAGGGACTCAAGATCATCTACTGCACACCGCGGTCCTTCGAGAAGGACAAGGTCAAGGAAGCTCTGAACGAGTGCTTGAATTTCAAGATGAAGTTTCCTGAGTATATTGCCGGTAGGTATTCCCCATACAGCCTTAGAGAAGCCTACTCAGGTTCTATTCCGTACTTATCCACTAATGCGCTCTAATTACTTAGGCTTCGACCTCGGCGGCGAGGAGAGCAAAAAATATCCGCTACGCCACTTTGCGGAGGAGTTTCTTTAGTTCCAGTCTGACTATGCCAAGGCAAAAGTAAACATATCGTTCCTATTCCACTGCGGTGAGACGTTGGACAAGGGCACCGAGACCGACGGCAACCTCTTCGACGGCCTACTCCTCGTCGCGAAACGAATCGGCCACGGCTTCGCCCTGGCATGGCACCCGCTCGTCATGCAAGAGATGAAGAGGAAAGGAGTCCGCGTGGAACTGTGCCCCATCTCGAACGAGATCCTCGGCCTACACCCTCCTGGCCAACAACGTCCCCTGCACCATCAGCACCGACAACAGCACCCCCTTCCGGTCGACCCTCTCGCACGACTTCTACCAGATTATGGCTGGCAAGCGCGACATGACCCTCTTCGGCTTCCGCCAGCTGATAGAGTGGAGCATCACGCACTCGTGCATGGACGACACTAAGAAGAAAAAAGTCTACAGGGAGTTGGAAGCCATTTGGGTTGACTTTGTCACCAAAGTCAAGGACGGCGCGTTCGGCGGGCGGGCGGCGGGCCCCTCCTCCTCTCCGGTGCCGGTGGTGGCGGAACCGCTCCTGGTAGTGGTAGTACCCCCCATGGCCGCAAGCAGCAGCAACCTCAGGCTGCTGGTTCTGGTTCTGGTTCTAGGGTTTGGCCTACTGCCGGTGGGACTTCTTCGCATGTTGCCTCAAGTTACCCCCAGAAGAGCCAGGCCACCAGTGGTGCAGTTGGTGCTACAGGTCGCGTTGGTAGTAGTAGTAGTACTACCGCTGGCCCCAATTAACACCAGCAGCAGGCTGGGTCTGGCGGCCGGCCGGCTAGTAAGAACGGCGCCACCCAAAGCCGGGGTGGTAGTTGTGCTGGGCCTCAGGCTGGTAGCACTGCTGCTTCGTCCCACGGCAAGCAGCCTAAAAATGGAACAGGAGTCGGGGCTACTGGGAATGTCGGATCTCGAGGCTAGAGTGGCCTTGATGGAAACATTGAACAAGGAGAGGGGGTGAGGTGGATTGCGGCCTAAAAGGGAAAAGTCTAGACCGAGGGGTTACTGTCTTGCACACGGGGGGGAGTAAGCCCTTTGAGGGGAAATGCATGAGGATGAATGCCTATGAGGAGGCGTTTTGGGTATGAATATACTGCTTGGATATGCTTCATTCCTTGCTAGATACCTAGCTAATACCCTCCTTCTCCTGCCAATCAAGCCTCCTTGGTGCCTCGAAGAAGGCTCACAGCTCTGCATCGATATATACACCCGTATGGTAACAATGCTGCACCCAAACCCGACGGCCATTCCTGGACGCGGCCTGTCACTCGGCTGGCCCTCCACGTTATCCATGGGGGTTCTAGGCAACCCTGCCCCTGCCTCTGCCCTAGAATGCCATGAGGACCTGGCAGTCGTTCCCCCGTAGCAAACCGTCCCGTCTCTCCGGCCAAATCGCCTCCACATATACTGAACAGTCGAAGCAATGGGTTAAAATTATAAGACCGCATTCCTACTAGCTTAGGCACCTAGGTGGCATGATACGCTTCCTCCTATAGGCCCTCCTTGCCCGTGCCCCAACAGAAAACCATCATCCAACCCGGCGGCAGAGCGGGATGCCCGCGGGTCCAGTCATCCGCCCACACATACTCCGTAACAAATATGTGATTGGTGCCGTTCTGGAGGAAGACACGCAGCACGTCGAGCGGTAAGGCGGCGACGTTGGACGCGGGGATGCAGGCACTGCTCGAAGGCGCCGCTGTACCAGCCGCTGCCGTCCCAGGCCTTTTTCTTGATGACTTGCCCGGCGCACCGCAGTAGTGACGGATGCCGCGGTTGCTGCCATTATCGCCCCACGACGTGACGCCGAGCGCAACCCGCGGGATCCGCGTTGGGAAGCGGAGGGAACCCGTCTGCCAGCCCTGGCCGTCCTACGTCTTTTCGAACCCGTTGATGTTGGTATTCTGCGCGTAGCCGCATCTTTTCATGTTTTCGAGGCATCAGGTATATGTCTGGGGAGTTGGGCAGAGGGGAATGGAATGGAACTTGGAAGGCGTACCGGAGAGGGGGGAATGGAATGGAATAGAATGGAACTTGGAAGGCGTACCGGAGAGGGTACGGGTCTTTGCGCCAGGTCGTGGCCGTGATTCGCATGCGGGGGAGCGCGGGCCCAAGGTTGCTGCCCATGGTCCAGCCACTGCCAGCCGCCATCTATGAAGAAAAAGAAGGTCAGATCGTTTTGATTTTTTGCAGAGGCACGGGGATGGGGATGTTTACAACGTACAGACCCACTCCTGGATCGTGTTGTCACGGAGTTAGCCATAGACACGGAGGCTGAGCTGGCCGCCGAGGAAGATGGCTGCGACCGAAAGTAGGGGGCCACATCGAACTTGCGGGAGGTGAGGTTTCCGTTGTACCAGCCGGTTCCGGAGTCGTACGCGGCCTCGCCGAGCTGGTTGTCCGGCGTGACATAGTACACGCGGCTGTTCTGAAAGCCGATGTTCGTGGCGGCGACGGGGGTTGCCAATCTTGCCCCTAGCGATGACATTGCCCGGTTGGGCACCCGACCAGTCCGAGCCTTCAAACTGCAGCCTGGTACATCGCAGTCAATGGAGTTTCTCTCTCAGCCCACTTCTTTGAGGTTGACTATATCATTGACAGCTCGACAGGAGATCTGTTTTCAGGGCCGACTCTGTTCAGAACACCATCCGGACATCAGCCAGCCAAGGAGGCTCTCACTGTCATGTCAGGCATCACCCATCGACTTTGACATAGCACTGTCTGAGACTCCGCCCCGGTGGCCTCTTCTAGGCCTACTTTTTTACTGAAGTCGGCCAGGCACCGCAACGCGCTCTCGCGACCTTGGGCCAGGCCCGGTTCCACGATGCTGCGACATCACAATGCACCCGGCTCAATCGCGGCGCGGGTCTCGTAAACGACAGACCCGACTCGTCCAGGAGCCAACCGAAACTGATGCGCGATGCCGGCTGCGGTTGATCGATGTAATCCCAGTCAATACCTCTTTCAGTTCTCCTTTGGTAACGGTAACCCCGCTTCTTTCTGAAAGGTCGCCCAACTTGTCTCTCTCGGCTTGAAGCGTGCTTGTCGCGGGCCAGTCCTGGAGTTCCCTGTGCTAAGCTGTCTGTAGGATGCGGCAGACGATCCATGTCGGCCTGTCGTTCCTGACAGCCGAGGATTATTCGAGACAGGCCCTTGCCCGTTAGAGCAACCAATCTATACCTGCATGAATAGGCAGAACGGGCTGATGCCGGTAATAAAACCCTTACACGTCGTCGTTCCCTTAGCCTCCTCAGTTATCACACCCATAGCTGTAATACCGTCACCTTTCACCTATACCAGATGAACGTTAGCGACAGGAACTTGCCATAGTGTGATGCCTTTTTCTTTTCTTTTCTTTTTTTTTATCTTTCGCACCTGGTTGCCATACAAGCCAGCGATGACAGTGCCTGGAGTGGCTGTGACTTCTGTGTGGGCACTGCGCCGCACTGGGCCCTTTGTGCCAGTGCCCATCCTGAAGAGGCGGCACGAGCGCCCGCGATTGGTGTAATACTAGGGCCGGGGTGGGAAGGTGGAGCGAATATGAATTTACTTTGCACCGAACCATATATCCTTCTTGAACACATGCAGCCCCCGGCATAAGTTCCTCGGCGCTGGGATAATAATGTCGCGTCTTGATGGTCTCGATATGTTCGCCGCCAGGCCCATCGATAGAGGATTCTGCGCGGTCCTCATATTCTTCCTCAATCTTCAAGCGGCCAAAGGATCGATACTCCCATGGCACTTCTATGTTGAAGGAAAGGTGGATGCGAAGTATACCAGCACATAATGCCGCGGAAATGCCGGTGAGGTGCCGGACGTTCTTTCTCCCGGCCCCTCCGAAATGGAACCAGATCATGGGTTTGTATCCCACTGTATAGAAGTCTCGGGGGAGGATTGAATTTTCGTTCATACTGAGCTTTTGTGGTGAAATGGTAGGATACCATACCGCTAATCTCAGTCCGCGGCAGGGCCGTGAAGGCGGCGATCGTGTGCGAAGAGCGAGCCTCACTATCTTGCAAGCCTGAATGATTTGTTAGTCTAAGCGGGCACTATGCACTACAAGGGGCGCTTACATCAAACCCAACTTCCAGCCCTACCACGCGGTCGGCGAGGACCAACCGTTCTGTCGAGGCACATCATCCAGGGAGATTCTACATCCGCTGACCCAATAATGCATTGCGGAGCTTGGAGTCCACGGGACCCAATGGTTACGCGAAAGCCGCAGATCTGGGTGAGCTCGATTGAGTGCTTGCAGCTGGAGCTGTATTCTAAACGAATGCTGTCTCCGGCAACGGTGACGAGAGATATTCCCACGACGTACCGGCCATCGCCGAAAGTGACCGTGTAAACGAAGAGTTGTGCCAGGGTGTTTGAAATAGCAATGAACTGGGTTTGGGACAGATGGCATCCATTGTAGAACCGGTGGTCATCCAGCTGCTTTGGAGTCCAGAGGAGGCCATTCACCTCGACACGGTACCCGGTGGCAGGTAGGGCCAAGTCCAGCGACCAAATTCCTGGCATTGAGGGGGGGGAGTTCGTTCCAGGCCAGAGCCAGAATATCTACCACCTGTTCGATGAAACCCAATATCCGCCGCCTATTTCGGAGGCCAGGACTGAGGCAGATATCGTTCGTCCGACGGTAGAGCCACCGCCAATCTCTTGGCGACTGGGCATGGCGAGTCTCAAAAAGCCAGGACCGATTAGCGGGGGCAGCGGCCCCTTAAATCGTGAAGCCCAGAATTGCTGACTGTAGAGAACAGGTCAGAATGCTCGCGACGCCAGGCAGGCACGAAGGACATCTGCGGTGGGAAGGAGCATGGCGATGGCTGCGCACAGCTCCTCGGCCAGTAATGCGAAACAATCCAGCGCCAAAGCTCGCGGCGGTCGAGCAAGTTGCGTCGCCGCCGGCGGTTGCTGTGGGTCCTCATCAAGGAGGCGGTCGACTCCCGGGACCTGGTAGGGGTTTCTGCGGAAGACCGGGTGTGGTTTGGCCAGTGTCGATTCCGAAAGCTCGTGCCGACCTTCCCATGGGAAGTGATGAATCTTGTCGACGACGATGGCTCCGCCAAAACCATGGCCCCAGGTAGGAGCGCGACACTTTTGCGAAACGGGAAGCGAGTTGCAGACGTCGAACAAGCGTCGGAGCGACAGCTGGGCTAGGTCCAACACGGCTTCCAGCAGGCTCCAGCAGGCATCCTGGAAGACGATACCGTGCTTGCCTCTGAAGTCCGGCTGAGGCAAGGGGGTGAAACCGTTGCAGTCGGATGGCTTAAATCCGGCATCGCTCCAGCGCTTGTTCCTGTCGGAGGGGGTCATAGAAGCCGCCCAAGCTTGGGCCATGGTAAATGCCGACCCCGGTGAGCAGCAGGCCGTCGGGGGTGTTGAGAATTGCAGCTGGAATGAAGGAGCGTAACTTGAAGACTCTTGCGAGACATTAAAGACTGACGGGCACGAAATTCGTTTGCCCACGGCAGCTCGGAAGGGGGAGGAGATGCAGTGTCAGTCTCCGAGTCCCAATCAGCCAACGACCCAGAGCCACAGAGGGCGCAGCGAACAAGTTATGGGTTCATTTCGACTCGCCGTCCCCGATAGCCGCAAAGAAACGAGTTGGTGGAGGACACAGAAAACTCAACAGATGTGCTGTGTTGCGCGATCTGTGTTAGACTGTTGGTGCATTCCTGCATTTTTAGTATAGTCCTGGTTAACATTACCGTGGTTGGTTAGCGTGACAAATGACAGGCGGAACATAGGAACGGAACTGAGAGAGTAGGAAAATAATTAAAGACGTACTAACGTAACTAGTTAATTAGGAATAAAGAGAAGAATAACGTTAAGCGGTTTGGAGAAAAATGTCAAGTAAAACAAGGGAAAAAGGTTCAAGTTCCTGGCTAACACACAAACAAGGACTGGATGGATTACTGGTCCGCCCTCAAATTGACCCAAATATTAATGGCCGTTGCCTACCGCTCTGTTTCGTCGTGTGCCAGTGCCCTGAACGACGTCGTTCACCACGCACGCTACGACTCGTAGGTTCCCACACGGCCTTGACTGCGCCTGGAGGATATGCCGCCATGCCCGTCGCAACCTCAAGGAGAGTGCCGTGATCCATCGCCCGAAAATTGCTCTTTTTGCGCTCCAAGTGCGACCGGCCACTCCCTAGTCGACAAGGCCACGACACGGTGTGAAGAAGGCCGCGGACGTGGAAGAGGGACGGCGAAGGGCATTGACCGAAGAGAAGTCCGGGCGAGCTGTCCTGATATGGCCGCAAATCTGGCGCGGTGTCTTGTCTAATGCGTCTCCCGGCGCTTTGTCAGCCCAGCCGGCGCCACTTAGCGTACGAGTGGTGTCGGAACCGCTACGAGGCAAACGAAGGGAAAAATGGTCAGTGGTCGCAGAGTGTCACGAGGATGTCAATTTTTTGGTTATTCCTGATGTTGATTGTGTTCTGTGTTCTCAACTGTCCGATGTTCCAGACAGCCTCCAGGGTGTCTATCACCAGCCACATGTGGGTCCGTCTTGGCACCCCCTGAATCAGGGTTCACGCTCCAACAAGTGGCCGATAGATACAGCTCATCTTTGATCATGCGGGCGGACCATTTTTCTTGCCAAGGGAGAACACTGCCACTGGTCGAGATAGCTTCGATGTTGAAGTTTTCCAATGACAGGCCATTTGGTGGCCCGAGAAAATGACGGTCCATAGCAAGGCGGACGGTCTGGTAGTCGATATTCAAGCCGCTTCCATCGAGCTTGTGCTTGCTAAGGTGAGGGTGGGCCCAGTCCCAGCCGGCGGCAGGTGTTCCAAAGAGATGTAGAGAACAGTGTCGGCAGGCGACTCTACCTAACAAGCGCGGCACTGGCAATGACAGTGGCGAGGACAAGCGCGGGTGGTTGCTGCATCCAGAAGCAGCGGCGTCGCCTTTGCTACAAGGAGCGTCGTGCCGTCACGGCCACGCAGGAACGAGAACAAGTTATGGTTATCGAAACCGAAGCAACCCATTTGATTGGCCTGCTTGTCGATTTTTATTGATTGCTTGGAGGACTGCGTGACGAAGAAGAGGAGGAGACTGCGCAGAACGCGAGTAGGGGAACTAACTGACATTGACATCGTGCGCCTGACACCCTCACCAAGCAACCTTTTCTCGTTCACTTACTAGTAACCTGTAGCACCCCATGGCAACTTTCCAAAGCCCTCTCAACGCTTTCATCAGAGCGTTTCAGCAATCCAGTGCTGAGCATCAAGGATAACGACTAAGTGACCATCGTTTGCCCATTCTGCTGTTGCGTTTCTGTACTGATTGGACTGATTGGCAAAGGGATCTATCTCGTTGAAGAGTGCAATGATTACGGGTGATTGTTGTGGTGTGACGGTGTGGTTGAGGATTGGCAAAGATCTCTCCCATCCCGTCACTGGGCAGCGGCTTGAGCTTGGGCCCACTTGAACCCACACAACGCGCAGGTGTGTCAGCAGGGCCAGCTGTGGGCCAATCACGTCACCTTAGCAAGGTGCAGAGCATGTGCTCGTTGGACCTTGATCTTACAGAATACAGACTGCATCTTTTCCACGGTTGCGCCGCACCAGGCAACTGTCCTTCTGCCTTGTAGCTTGCGGACTCAGACGTGTCTCTGGCCGTCAACACTTTAAGTTGCCATCGTCAGAAGCCCATTAGTACCTCAGGTCTAATCTGGTCTCTGTTGTTCCTTGGTTGCTCACTTTGTCAGTCAACACCGAGAGTCCGCAAGGGTAGAGGCTAGCAATGCGCGATCTGCTTTAGGAATTTGACTCTCCCCGCCATACCTCGATATGTCTGTAAAGTCCTCCTACCTCCCGCGCCTCGGGTTCTCGCGAGGTGACGAACCGATCCTCCCATTACACCACCGCATGAGTCCCCCGATTCGCAAACAGCCGAGCGAATACGATCTCTCCGAGCTTCCGCCTCAACCAGATGACGATCTTCTGGCATCTATGTCGATGCACGAACGCAAAGCTCCTCGCTCCCGTCACCGGAGTCCCTCCCCGTCTGCAAGATACAGCGACAGAGGAAGCACAGCTGGCTCCTCCAAGTCCCAGCCGAAGCAGCGCGTCCTGTTTGCCGGTCCACCCCCGCCCGTTGCTGTTTCACAGGTGCTATACCGCGACGAAGAAGAAAGGGACACGCCACCCTCCCCTCCAGGCACTCTCGAAAGGGCGTCATTCGCGCGCAACATCAACAGCGTCCTCTTCGACCGCAGCTTCTCCTCACCCAACCGACCCCAACAACGAGACTACGACTACAGACCAGAACCCATCTGGCACAACCTCCAACGTCGCGAACACGCCCTGCAAAGAGATCTCCAACACCTCCTTGACGCGCAATCCGCCGGCCTCGCAGCCAACCTAGACCCAAACGCGCCGTCCCCCTCGTCCGCCACAAGCGACCGAAGCGGCACCACCTCAACAAGCACCACCACCTCCACGCCACGCCGAAGCCACCACTACCACCCGGAATTCGAGCACACAATCACCACCTCCTCCTCAGGCACGCTCGTCCCCGTCCGCCAACCACAATCCCCTAAATCCCTCGGTCTGCGCGCCGCGCGCGCGTCGCTGGCACGCACCATCACGCAGCTGGCAGACCTCAAAGCGGAAGAGGATGCCCAGCTTACAACGGCACTCTCGGCACGCAAAAAGGCGCTCTCCCGACTCCGGCAGTGGACGGCGCAGCGGGCGGACATTGCCGAGGAGCTGCGGGCGCTGGAGGCCGGGGACGGGGACGGGGAGCTGCACGAGCTGCGGGAGCTGGAGGCGGAAAGGAAGGCGGTGCAGCGGGAGATTGTCGAGCTTGAGGAGCGGTTGGTTGGGTTGAGACGGCGGAGGACGGTGTTAGATGGGAGGGTTGAGGAAGTCCGGAGTCGGCGGGAGGCTGGGTTGAGCGGGTACAGAGGGGCGTTGAGGGAGGTGGAGGGGAGAATTGGCGGGTTGCTGGCCCGGCCTGGGGTGAGGCCTCTAGACGGGGAGTTTTTCTTTGCGGGTTTGGTCGGGGATGGAGGTGGAGTGGGGGAGTCGCCTGGCGGGATGGAGTTCTTACGGCTCAGGCCCGAGAGGCGGACGGCGGAGATGGCGAGGGAGTGGTGGGAGAAGGAGGTGGGGATATTGGAGAGGAGGAAAGCGGAGGTGGATAAGGAGAAGGCGGCGCTTGAGGAGGGGGCCGAGGTGTGGAAGGGCGCGGTGAAGCTTGTGTCGGAGTTTGAGGCGGGGTTAAGGAGGGAGATGAGGGGCGGCGAGCACGATGAGATCAAGAGCAATGGGAAGGGAAAGGCTAAGAAGGGCGAGTCATCAACGCCACCGCCTTCTGAGCAGGCCATGTACGCGCAGCTCGACAAGATGCGCGCCGTCATGGCTGGCTTGGACGAGAAGCTGCATGTTGCGGAGGAGAACGGGTGGAACTTGCTTATTTGTGCCATTGGCGCGGAGTTGGAGGCGTTCCGGCAGGCCGAAGGCATGCTGCGGGAGGCGTTGCGTTCTGCGGGCTTCGACATTGGCGAAGACGACGCCGAGCAAGCAGGTTCCACGCCGCGGCTAGGGAGATCCACAAGTCTAATGAACTCGGGGCAGCGGATGGATGCGGCTGAGCCGAGCGGCGGCGGCAAATTGTTGGATTTGCACGACGGGCCAGACGAGGACAAGGAAGCTGAGAGCGATAATGACGTGCCTCGCGACTTGCTCGTGGCCGTCGAGGAGGAACAAGAGTTGGCGAATCCAGCCTTGAACAGGGAGGACAGCAACGAGGTGCCAGCGGAGTTCTTGACGGAACACCATGACGTTGGGGAGGGGTTTACCGGCTTCGGCGGCATGACTTAGACAGCATTAGCTGGCTTTTGGGTTCTATGCCGGCGAGCAAGCTGCTGAGCGGCGCCAAACTGGAGCGGAGGCGACCTGTGTGGTACAGCTGTTACGGCATCCGTTAATGAGACAGGGGCTGCGCAATGACATAAATACGATTCGATTGTTTTAGGTATTTCCATCTTCTCCGTTTTTGGCTACGTTCCTTACGGCTTAATACAGTCCAAAGAGATTCTTTAGACATACAAGGAACCGCTGTCTGCAGTGGCGTTCAACCATGAGTTCGGTCTCGTTCATGCTGGCTTTGGCAACAGCACCTACATAGCAGAGAAATAACAAGACCTCGTGACTTCGGGCCTATTGTATTTCCCTTCTGGCGCATGAATACTGATATTAAATGACAAAGCTCGCCGTCCTCTTCACGTCTCCCTCAATATCACTCGGCTCAATCGAAACCCTCAGCCGTTGATTGTTCTAGCAAGTGGCACATCCGACATAGCAGCAGTTCCTGCACTTGGTCGTCTTGCACTGGCGAAGGCAGCTCTCGAGGATGACGCCGGCGGGGCAGTTGCGGGCTGGTTCCATGAGAGAGAGAGGGAGGAAACATGTCAGTGCCTGAGAACCAAACAACATTGTCAACTATGCGAACTCACCCTCGAGCTGGGCCGGCTCGGCCTCGGGAACGGGGACAGGGTTTGCGGCGGCCGTAATGGCGAGGCCAACGACGGTGAGAATGGCGGTAAGCTTCATGCTGGTGGGTTTGTTAATTGAAAGGGATCGGCGATGTGCGAGACTGGCTGTGTCGTTGTTGCTGGTGCCTTGACGAGTGAAGGGCGGTGGCGATCACTCTATATATGCTCGCTCGGCCTTGTCTCAAGTCACCCGTTAGTCTCTGCCGTTTCGTATTCAGAAACATATCTCGGCCATTGCAACCAAACTTGAATGGTGGCGGTATGGGACTTTGGCCAGCACAGACATGAAGCCTTGGGCTAGGCCTAAACGGCTATCCATCTTATGGTTTCTTCGGACTGATTGTTCGCCCGGATTATCATACATCTGGGGATCTGTGGAGCATAAGGACTGTATATACCTGCTATCCGAAGTCCGCACTTCACCCCTGACTCGGCGCACACCTCGTCCTAGCCTCCTCGGGGATGGGATGAGGGAACTTTCTCCTGTGTCCTTGCAAACATGTCCAATCGGATGGTCCATCACTTGGTCTGATTTGACCAGACCAGGACTGAAGCTTGTTTTGTCCATGGGTTGGATCCAAGGGTTCATCCGGATCGAGCACAGAATGGGCTCGGGGACTTGAAACTGCGTGAGCACGAGTCTCGTTCAGACTCTAGTACTGGCCTCAGGAGTTCTTACTCCACTCCAGAGGCTCAGGACGCTCCCAAGCAGAATAGATATCTGCTCCACACCCTTGGAACCTACGTTGTATCAACGACTAGAAAAGTTGGAACCCAAACACCAGCCAGCACATTGTATATGATGGACAGCACAACTCTTTTGCCAGCCGGAACGTTCGAGGGCGAGGCTTCTGAGCCCAACGGAGATGATTGCGAACAGCTCGCCTGTTAGTACTGTTACTGTAGAGACGTTCCGATGATTACCTCCTAGCTTAGCTGTCATGCCAAATACCGGAAGACTTGCATGCGAGGCCCTGCACCCGCATGTCGGTTATTCTCAACGGCTAAAGCTCGCCCTTGACAGCCTGAATTGAGCCCCCCTCCCCATTTACATCATATCCCGACTAAGGAGCTGACAGGGCGAAACCTCACATGACAAATCCGGTAGTACCCATTATCGTTCGCGTGAATGATATCTCTTCCATGCTAACCGGGAAACGAAGTGTAATTCACGAATCGAACAACATAACCCCTCTACATGTAAGGGTCGCAAATACCGACAGGCTACCACACGAAACACGCTTCGCTTCTTTGCGGCACGCCAACAATATTACCCACATTCTTAACAACAGTCTTATCGGCACCGCCAAGGCACCAGCACGTCGGGCGTCTGGGTGCCGGTGCCCGCCACATTCTAGGTGCAGCCGACGTCGGCGCGGTCTTGGAAGTAGTTCATGGTGGTTTCACAGCTCGGTGCACTCGTCAAACGAGGTCGTGACGTACGACGCAAGGTCCTGCTTGCCGCTGCCGCTGAAGTCTGAATCGCACATTACGGAGTACTGCACGGTGCCGAGTGTGGGCGTCACGACAGTGTTGTTGGCGCCCGGGCAAATGTTGGACGGCCGGGGGGTGCTAGTTGAGGTTGTTGAGTTTGAGTTTAAGGTCGAGGTCGACGAGGAGGCGATACTTCTAGATGCTGGAGGTGATATAGTTAATGCTGAGGTGGGTGATGTCTGCGTGGTCGGCGGCGATAGCGAGGAGACAGCCGTTGAACTTGAGGATGAATCTGGGGCTAGATAGGGCTGTTAGTGACAGTATCGACCTCGTCGACCGCACCAAAGCTTACTGAAGTCGTCGGCATTGGCCTTCTACGCTCTGTTCATCGATATGCCCAGCCCAGTTCCCAACGCTACAAGGCCAAGAGCGACAGGACCGTGCTGACGACGGTGAGTCTAAAGATGGCCCTCGACAGACCGCATATCCTATTTCTAGCAGGCAGCGCCTCTCTAGTGCCAGCCGGCGTCTTCTCCTGCTGCCATGACTGCCCACCGTTGACGGCTTCCAGGTCCGATTCGGAGACATTGAGTACTTCGAGGCCTTCGTGAAGAGCCACATCAGGGGGAGAAATGTATTGTATGAAGGCGCATGGGTGACGCTGCCATATCGTCACATGTTCAATCAGGGAGACGAGGGTCGGCCGAGCAAAGGCAAACCTGATGAAGAGGTGAAGATTATCACGGCAGGGTTTTCTGCAGATTCCATGCCCTCAATACCGTCTTCGCTTACCACCATTGTGTCCGGACCTGCTCCTATGGCGCGTCGCTTGCTGCGCCGCACCATTGTGAAACAAGCAGTTCCTCGATGGCACGCGGTTATTAGCTGCTCATCGGGCTCCCTCTCGAGTCCCTAATTGCCAGCCCGACTTTCTCTTCAACGGCGGCTGATCGGGTTAAATAATTCGCGAAAAACCCGCTCTGACGACGAAGCCCAGTTGACGAATCAGGATCCCAGAATGCGTAATCCGTACCTAGGTAAGTACCTTGTATTAAATTGTATATCAGTACATAGACCTTGAGAGACTGCATATTTTTCTTTCCTTGAGCGCTCTCACGTCGCCGCTGTCGAGCTGGCGGTGGTAGCTTTTCATCTTGCTCGCTATGGCCAATTTCCGGGCTGAGCCAGGGACTACTTCGAGGCCGTCGTAAGGGGCAAGCTCAGGCTGCATCGTGCGAAGACAGCAAACCTGGGTAATAAATCTGCCTCTGATGAACGCATGACGTAAGAGCAAGGCAAAACCGTGCGGAAGAGCTCGCCGCTTTCAAGATATCATCGGAGCTCTGCGCTCTCAGCTCACGATCCAACTGACGGCTGCGAAGATGGCGTCGACCATGTATGCGCCAAGGGCTTGAGAATTGGGCCTATTCAAGGATCGTTGTGGCTGTCTGAGGCTGGGACGGAGTTACAGAGGCAGCTACACGTGAACCAGCTTGAAGTCTTGTGCTGAAGCTCTTAGCCTGTTGACCAACTTTAAAACTTCGGAAGGTCCTGCATGATGTATCTTGGACCAGGGGGAGGGTTGATCTGATAAATGACCAATATGATTAGCGGAGTGCAAATCAACAAGGCTCAGACACCGGAGCTCACGGCAGTGCGGTTTGGGGCGAGAACCGCATGCCTGTCTCTGTTAGCATGGGTACACAAGACAATATTTGGCAACTGGGAGTGACTTCAAGGCTAAGGCTTCAAAAAATGCCCTCCCCTTCAGCAGCATTCACGCCCTCTCTCACCACCCTCGCGACCGCCTTCCCCATCTCCTCCTCGCCGTCCAACAAGTCCAACCAAGTATTCTTCAGTCCCTCGCTAGCCAACAACAAATCCGCTACCCTAGCCACACTCTCCCTACTAATCCTGCCTGTCGAATGCCCCGTCTTGCCCAGCTCGATCCTTCCGGCCGGCTCAAGCGTGAGCGTGCCCGGGCGGAGGTTGATGCCGACAAACCCGCTGCCCCGTTCCTTGGACACGGAATAGAGCTCCTCGTCCGCAGCCAGCTTGGCGCGGTAGTAGTGAGGCAGAATGCGCGTGTTGACGTCCTCTGCCGCGGCCCAGGCCTCGTCGGACCACCAGGCGGGCTTGTTGCGGCGCGAGCCGAGGTACGAGACCATCAGGAAGCGGGTGATTGTCGGGGTGGCGGCGGCGGCGCGGATGAAGTAAATTGCGGCGTCCCGGTCAATAACGTAGGTCTGCAGAAGTTAATATGACTGTACCAAGCTGTGGGCGTTGGACCTACTACCCTAGGAATGAATACGAAAGGCGGTACTTACCCGCTCAGATCCCCCTTTCCCACCAGCCCCTAATCATTACCCGTCAGCCATAACTTGAAGCCGCCCTGCAGCAACCCCAAACCCGAGCGATACCACCAGCGCCCAACCGACAGCGCTACCTTGAGTGAAGACATAACATACCAGCACTCCAAACAATGTAATCCACCCTAGGCACCTCATCCAACACCCGCCTCGCATCCCTCTCCACCCTAACCTCCTCGAGACTCCGCACGAGCACCTCCAACTTCCCAACACCCTTCAACTTCTCCGACTCGGAGGACTTTTCCTCACCCCCTTCCTTATTAGAGCCCTTCTCAAAGTCCTCATCATCCCGGGCGGCGGCGAGCCGAGCCAGCCCCCGCACGGCACTCACCTGCTCCTCGCTGCGTATCACACTCGTGACATCCCACCCCCGGCGCAGCAGCAGCGGGGTGAGCAGCTGAGCCACCTTGCCGTGGCCTCCGAGGAGGAGGACGTGATGCGGGGCGGGCATATTTATAGCCTTTCAGTCTTGAGGTGAGTGGGGTGGAACTAAATCAACCAATCCGGGGTCGGCGATTTGAACTTTTTTGACTTCTCTTTTCGCCAGTACTGTGATAAAATGGGGTCCGGAATCGTGATTTAGGGATTGTTTGTGTTGTGTGAACGGACTTTCAGTTTCATGTGGAAGTTGAAGCGAATGGTGCAATGAGACAACGGTGTGTGACGATATGCAGAAGTAGTGGATCTCACGTGATAGACATATATGACTTCTTAGGATGTGTGAAGTTTACGTGAGTGTAAACTGGTGTGTAGCCTAGTCTGGTTCGAA